CCCCCCCCCCCCCCCCCCCCCCCCCCTCCATTCCTCCTCATAAGTGAAATACATTGTGAAGGCCGAAGATGTCTCCAAAATATCTTGGTCATGTTAAGCTTACCCAATTTCAATCTGTACAAGAATTTCAAATGATATACTTGTTGTAAATGCATTTCACAGCATAAAAACTAGCATTGCAGTGGAACATGCGAAATTGAGCCCCTGTGCTGATCGTGATGGATGGGAGAAGGGTACATTTTTCGAACCCTTTGAATTCGTGATTGCAAAAATTCCACCTTATCTGGAAACATCACTCTGTTATATACACATATTGTATAATATACTCTTTCATACTGACTCCATGAATTCCGTCGTGAATTCAATAATCCAAATGCAGATGCTGAAATAAGTCTCTCATGATGTGAAAAGATCAAGTACTTGGTTTCTGGTATTACATCTTCTCTCCTCTTCCTACACCTTATCCATTTCAAACAGCTTCATATGGTGAAATTCCCGGTGCCGAATTCATGAGAGACCTTATTGACAATAATCCTGATTTCCTTCTTTGAATCATTGAATGAAGTTGCAAGATGTGTTTCGCTATTAGTAATTAGGCGGATGTGCGCTGGTTCGAATTCTAAGACATCTCAAATGTAGATGACACTCCGAAAATTACCCACACAATGAACTCGATGCACCAAAGTATTCAGATTCCATGCTGTTCTCAAAGGGAGCTTTTCAGGAGATTGGAATTGCTGTTTACGATGAGGGATCGAGGATAACAGCTTTGCCAAACTTAATTCACTCAAAAATGGAAGTGTGTCAATAGTGGGTGCATAAAGTGGAGACGAGAACAAACTCGATGTTTGTCACCATCTTATGTACACTCGAGAGTAGGCAATGTTGGCTCACTTTGAACATCATCTTGCTGTACCCAATGGCGGCAGTGGTAGGATCTCCGTTTGCGAAGCAGAAAGCAAAGAGATGTGAGTAAGAGGAATCTGAGAAAATGGGGAATGTGGAAGATGTACGAAAAGTCGAAGGTGAAGAAAGAGGAGAGAGTAAAAAAGAATAAGCAGACTGCACCTTCATCCTCGTAATTGGTGCGGCCTCGGCTTACCAGAGTGAATTCCAGTGGTGATATTAAGAGTTCGGAGTGGACACCGGCCGTTTGCCTGTGTGAAAACTTCGAATTGAGCTAGTGGAGAAATGGAAGAGAGTGTGAGGTGGGAGGTGTAGTTGGCAGGAAGGGATTCGAATCCGGGTAGTGTCAGAGGAGAGAAAATAACTTTCCACCTTCGGTTCTAAGTTCTATGAGTCATTTGTACCATATGACATTACAGAAATCCAACAGAACTATCCTAAACTACGCATTGTGTAGGATCGAATCTTGTTCTGTGAGAGCACGAGAGGGAGTAAGAATGCTAAAATTTTGACGTTAATCATGTCTTCTTGTGAAACACCTTATTCTACTCGTTATCATAATAAATCTTCAATCCAGTTGCTGTTGTGTTTACTGTTAACCTTTAAGTAGAGCAGTAATTTAGACTTCGATTTGCGTGCACATATATTGAAAGAGACGAAATCATGTCTATAATGATTATTACCAATGAAATAATCCTTGCATAATCTTTTTTTGCAAAACAATAACATTGCATCGGAACATTCGAAGTTGAATAAACGTAGTGAAAGGGATGGAAGGAGAGTTGGTTTCATTTGGAGTACACATTGATGCCGTGGGTTCTCAAGTGCTATCTCAATGGGAAACATCACTCTTCCTCTTGTGACCCCTCATTTTGAATTTCTGAATTTATTCGAAATTTTAAATCTATGATTACTTGTGTGTTTCAACAATTCATCTTCTGATATTATAACGATTTAAAGATGCAAAGGTCTTGGTTACTAATACAATATGATTCTCTTCTCTTCTTTTACCTGCCAAAACTACAACTACGAGGGCGTTGTTAACAACAGAATTAAATCCACTCATTAACCAAGAATATGATGACAATTTAAATCGTAATGAAAGGTTGTAAAACGAGTTTTACGTCTGAATGTAATCAAATGAAATGATAAATTAGGAAGAAATTTCGCTTTAAAACCATCTTGAAATAATAATATTCTGCTGAAATCAGTTCAAATATTTTTCAAATGTCATTGGCAGTCCACACCCCACGTCCACGCGATATAAGAAGGGAAAATGGATTGAAATAGGATCGACAAGACCTCTGCATTTACCATCCAACAGAGATTTTCAACAAGAACAAATTACAAGCCGAATTTCCTTTCAATGTCCACGGCATTTTCGAGGTATCAACTTCGTGGACAATGCAAGTTAGACTTATGAACTGCTCGGCTAGAGAACGGGATATATTTAGAGTGCTTCATCTCAACGAGATACCTGTGTGAGCCGAATTTCTAAGTAACGTCTCAAATCGATATGATTCACCATTCCCACACACTTATTTGCAGATAAAGTGCTTGCCGGTACGTTTGGCAGACGTGGTATACCACTGGTCAAATATTCTTCCTTGTATGAACAGTTTTGCGTTTGCACAACCTTCTGGGATTTGAAAGTAAACTGCAAAAGGAGCGTTAGTAAAATTAATTATTTATACGGAACTCAGTTTCAGTACAAATTTCTCATTCAAAATTGGACGTGTTGTGTTTGTCCTTGAAACTTAAAACTTTATTTTATGCACGTCATTAACCAGTGGAAAGCAGATTGTTCGCTAGTTTATTACGATGCGGTTTTGAATTCCTCGCCCATTCTCTCCTATTATTAATTTCTCACATTTTTCCCGTTCCCATCAACACCTCCTGATCTTTAAAAATCAAAATTTAGAATTATGAAACTCATTGTGGGCTCATCAATGGTCCAAAGGTGCACATTTTGTTCGCTCCTTCATCATGACACGAATTCGAATTTCTAATTGATTTCTAACTTCAAATTTTCACAATTTCAAGCAAATCTTCCCTTCACACTCCCCCTACCTCCTCACAATCACTTCCATTTCTCCTATTTAACCCCCACCTTACTCAATTCCAAGATTTCACAGGGAGAATAGCCTCGTATCTCCTCTTAACTTTAACTATGGCAACCTGGAAGGGAAAATATTCGCCAGTCTAGAACTGAGCAATGCTTGAAGTCGTAGTGGGAGTCATTCTACATGAATGGTATAGATAAGAAACAAGTAGTGCAGCACAGGGGTTAATTGAATTCTAATGAATGCAGAATAGTCTAAGTCTCAGTAGATTTGGAGCTGAAACAAAGGTGCAGAATTGAGCTTTTGAAGAAAGATGGAGATGAGATGGCCAGAGAAGAAATCGTATTGATGACTTGACAACAGGTCATCGCTTTATCAATAATGAGCTCTGATGCATTTCAAATGTCTTAGCCAATCCTCAAACCTCTCCTCATCATTGTAAGAAGGCACCAAGAGGTGTCTTCAACATCACCATCCACCTGTTTAAATTCTTATCTCTATCGACTCGGATTATTGTCCTTTCAACCCCAATTCATCCATGACAAGGAATTGCTGAAAATGCCAAGTTTGTTGCAATTCATGCATGGCAGAGATTCAACCTTATAGCACACTGCTATGAGCATGTATATTTTGATAATTACTAGAAAAGAAGTCAATTAAAAAGGTTTGATTAAGATAATTGGTTTCTTCCAACAGCACTTATTGAAAGTAGGTAACTGATAAGTTGAAGTTTTAAATAGTTTTCTTGGCTTTTCCAATATCATTTTAAGTCACATCAGGGACGATCGGACAGATGATTAGGCAAGATGCTTGTTGTTATGGAATTCAAAAGCGCATTGACGTCTTTTTGCTAAATTGTGCTCGTTTTGCTTTCTCTGCTAACTTATGAGAAGGAAATATTTGCGTTAGCTTCCCAACACTCAGCCAATTCTAAATTATCAGGTTTGCTTCAAATCCTGCATGAAAATTTGTAAACGGAGCTCTTATTTGGTTTAGATGATGCCTATCTTAATGGAATTGCATACCGTTTGCTCTACCAAACACCAATGTAGTGCATTGGATGTGGAAAACAGACCATTCTAGATGACGGAGAAGAAGACTGGACATGGGTGTTTAAGACAATAATTTTATTTTAAGTTATCAAATTATATTTTGAAATGACAGATTTATTAAAGTGAAGATGAAAGAAGTGTCCGTTGGGTACCAGAAGGTAGGTTTTATCTCCTAGGTCTCATTGGTCTCACTGTTCTCATTGGATAAGGCCGTCCGCTTAGAATATTGCTAACACAAGGAAAAATTTAAATATTAAAATAAAAATATTATAGGAATATCATCAAATATTGGTCCATTTCTTACCCAATACCATAGTTACAGATCAGAAGATGATAACCATGACACTCAGTTACTCCACAACCTAAGTACTTTGTTAGCGCAGACACTATCTAACAGTGGAAAAAATATACATTGATAACAAAAAAAATGAGGAATTGAAAAGTCTCACCAGTTGACAACGAGAAAATTAATCAATTAACAATTTCCCACAGTTCGTTCAGACCATGTTATACTTACCTTCTTGTAACTATAGCAGTAAGTCCAGCAACGATTTGTGCGATAATTGTAATGTCTGCTTTCATCCGTCCATACTTTAAAGCCCCTAACATTTTGAAACGGGATTAAATGAAGGCAGATAAATAACTTAGTCACAAATATTTGCAATTACTCACATTTCGACGCTACTCTGCAAGGCAATATTCTGGCCAATTCTGTCATATTCATACGTACTTGTGGTAGCAAATTTGCATGTTCTAGAAGTACCTTTGGCCAGTTGTGCAAGACCTTCGTCCCAAATCTAGGCAAAGGTAAATCAGGCAATAGAAGACTCTTACGAGATCGTGAAGTCCAGCAGCCCTAGGTTGGCCAAGTACCTTTCCGTCGGTTATGTTTCTACGAAATTCATTATGCAACCATAGAATATTCAGTAAAAAATGATCTTCATTGATAGTATTAATCCTATCTCTGTCCTTTAAGCCCACTTCAATATCCTCTTCAAAGTAAGAAGTTGTAGTTTCAGTTACCTCAACATCTCTTACTCTAAGTTCTTCAGGTTGATGGGTATAATTTGAACTTCCAGCACTCACGAGAATGCTGAAGAGTAGACTTCTGAGATAGAGGTCGCATGACTTCATTGTGAATATTATTGTTAGCTTTCAACTGCTTTCAAGGCTTTTATAGCCCCGGATGTAGTTCATTGATCCGTTGCGGCCTACTAAACTAGAATGTAGTCACACCTAACCAATCAACTCTCAAACAAAGAAAGTATTTTCCCTAAAACTTATTTGTAAAATGTGCATAAAAATAAAATGCAAATTACACTTTTAAGCATTCTTATTGAAAAAGCAGATCAAATTTAGACAGATTAATTATTGAAGTATTTGAAGAAATTCGGAAGGCGTTCAAACTAAAGACCATTTTCAACATTGATGTAGATGATTTTCCTATCTCTTCGAGAGCAACAATAAACTGTTTTTCAACTCATATCTACAATGTACAAGGCCACTATCACTAAAGCTACGTTTTTGGAAATTGAAATTCCATGGCCTCTGTAGTTATGGTGATTCACTTCTCTCTCTCTCTCTCTCTCTCTGTGAATTCGTCAATTGACATCAAATATGTGAGCATCGCCCATATATATTTGTACGACAATTGCAAAAGTTTAAAAGTATCACAAAATTGGCATCTTTCACAGTGGCCTATTTAGGGAGGGTGGGGGAGAGTGTCTGGTAAAAGGATGGTCCCGATGATACGAGACTGTCATCTCCTCTACCAATTGACAAGCCCACTTTTGGCACCGTTCTATCTATCAGAGAAACAGGTTTAGCGAGATCGCTATCCTCGCTTTCACGAGAAATTTGTTTATAACCATTTTCCCAATAACAAATATCCAGATGAACAATGAATTATACAAGCAGTAAAAGGTAATTAAAATGATTTTGGAGTATCGAAAGCACAGTATGATCTTAATCTAATGTAAAAGAAGTTATCATTAACGCATGGACATCAGCACGCACATTCTTCGTCTGATTGTCAACTGAACAAAATCTGATTCTAAACTATGCCTACATTTGAATAGTCCTTAGGGCATTTCTATAAACCCTTACATAACAAATTACACACTCATAAATGCAAATGACATAGTTGGATATAGAAATTAAAATTCATTTTGTAAACGTGGAATCTGAGTCAAGTGTGTGACCTTTGTCTAAGTCGATTAACTCATTGATGGCAAAATTCTAAAAACATGAAAAATTTGGCAGCTTTCACTATGACTAATTTGGAGGTTGTGAAAGGGACTCTAACAATTGCGTGACCTTGATAATACGTGAGAGCAATCTAATCATCAATTTGTGCACACACTTTTAGTACCATTCCAATGATCAGAAAATCAGATTGGCGAGATCTTCATCCTCACATTCTTCACATTCACTTTCTACCAGGCAAGATCTCTCATGACGAAAACCGATCTTTGCCCTATTATGAACCGAAAATGGAAGCTAATCCAAAATTTTCCCCTTCAGGACAGTTGCGCAAAATCGCACATCCCAACTGACTCAGTGAGATAGCCCAAATTCCATTTCACGCAATATAGTTCGCATTTCGTCTTAGACACGAAATTAAGGGGGTATTCTGGTCTAGAGACATGAATTTTAGGTCATTTTTGAAGTGCTGGAAAAAAGCATGCAATAATTTTATTATCACTTTTTGATACAATATTTATTCACATTAGAAGTATACAAAAAAGTAAAAAGTAAAAAATTAAAAATTCAGTTAGTTATCAGCTGATGAAGTGGGACGTCTCAAA